GTTAGGGGTGCCAATCGGTAAAATTTCCTATAGGAAAAAAATTCGAAAAGTGTCCTGGATCTTCCAGATGGAAAATCGCTCGAGCCAATAAAATCACATCGAACGCTCCGAAGAACCCCGCCAGAACCAAAAAACACCTGACGCCCCGCGAGCGCGAAGCGTGTGTGAACGCGTTCCGCCGTGCCGTGGAGGTTGCACACGGCACCCTAGCGGCACCCTAGCGCCGTCCGCAACCTAGCAAACATGCCTGGTGGCTCACTCGAACAGCCGCCGGGCGGTGGGACCGCGCGGACTCCTCCTGCTGGAGGAAGCAGTGCTCCTCCTGCTGCTGGCGAAAAAAACAGCAGCAGCGAGGAAGCACCCATCATCTACGCCCACCGCCTCCGCCTTCGCNACCGCCTCGGATATGTTCTACACATCCTGCACATCTCCATCACCGCGGGCTTTACCAGCGTGTTCTTCATGGGCCCGCTCGGTAAGGGTTCGTGGCACGAGTGGGGGACCTCGCATGTTTTCTCGCTCCTCGGCATGGTCTGGTACAACACGAGCAGATCAAATTCCTCGAACACGAATTTTCTGCGATGGCAGAAGCTCGTTGCAGACGAGTTTCCCGCCGCGAAGCCATGGACCAAAAAGTTCATAAGGCCGGCTGAAACGCGGTGGATGGTCGTGATGGACGGTGCCAAGATCCTCTTTGAGCTCTGGGATGAGGTCGCGCACTCGCTGCTGTGATACAGGCGGAGAAGAAGCACTTTATGGTGAACTTCAGCGAGGACAGTTTTTTTTTTGCGGAATTCAACATGCGGTGGAAGAAGTGGATGCAGCGGCATCAGGAGCTACCTTTGAGCATGGCGCGGATTGGTTGCCCATCGTTTTACGCGCGGATGGGGATCATGGGGAAGGGGGCTGTAGAGCAGGCGGTGGGGCCGGAGTATGCACGTGCATTTCTGCATGTTGGGTGGCCTGAACGATACGAGGGAGAGCCGCGCTCGGAGAGGGAGAGAGAGTACCGCGTGCAGCTCGGGGAAGATTTTGGGGGGGTCATCGACGCAAGGAGGAAAGATGAGTTGACGTTTGGTCTTTTCTCGATTGTGGAGGAGGATGCAGAAATGAGGTGTGAGGTAGAAGGATATGCGGAGTCTGGGTTTGGGGACAAGGAGGTTGATGAGGAAGCAGAGAAGGGTACAACTGCGCTGGTGCGTCTTTTCGAAAAATTCCCTCGCTTGTACAAGTTCGTGTGTGTGCGCTTCTACTTCGTGCCTATTCACCAGCAGTTGATCGAGGCCTTCTTTTCTAAGTACGACACGTGCGCAAAGAAAACGGACGTGGCTGTGATGGATTCCGTCCGGGTTGGGAGTTGGCAAACCTAAGAGTCCAGAGATATCTCAAGCAGTGGTGCCACCGGCAGTGAAATTCGTGCGGCCGGCACCAGGAGGCTGGCTGGGTGGAGAAAAGCGAAGGCGGCGGCCCTCGCAGAACACCCAGCCGGAAACGCAAAGAGAAAGAGAGTTTTGGATACGGAAACTGGGCGGGCGATGGTGGAGGAGTTGAAGCGGGAAGGGGGTTTGCCGACTCGGAGTGGTGTCCACGCTGACCAAACGTAGGTGTGTTGGGTGTGACGTGGATTATTGTCACCGGAAAAAAAAAACTCCGCACCAAAAATCATGTCGACTTTTTGTACCCTGCTGGGTGCGCCACCACCTTCTGCATTCTGCGAAGGCTGCAGCCAGCTAGCTGCAGAGAGACACCGAGAGAGCCGAGTATCGGTTGTGGTGTTCTGTCGCGTTGAAAACCATGCCATCACCACGTGTTTCATTATTGATGCCCGCTCATCATGCTGACACACGCAAACTTCGCGCAATTTGCGCCCCCAAGTTGAAGTTGAACTGCAGCACAAAACCAAAGCAACTCACGCCGACCAAAAGCAATCAGAACCCTGCCACGCCTGCAAGAGCTATCACAGCACATCACAGCTCTCGATACAACCAGGCACGCAACCATTTTCGGGAGAACCACGTGCATGCATAGCTGCAAGATGCATACCAAAACAAAAAAAGTCAGCTCTCCTCACAGCTTTCCTCCGAGCTCGCCCCCCCGTCCCCTTCTTTTGCCTTCGTAGACAGCGTCCTTTCGCGACCACTCCTCCTCAGGGTAG